CGCAGTGCCTCCTTCAGGTCCCCAGTCTGAGCAGTCACGTGGCCAATCTGATGCAGAGTCGATGCAATTCCCGGATGGTCAACATCACCATGCAAGGACTGCTGCATTCGCAAAGACTCTTGCAGGTACTCCATGGCTTCTGTGTGATGACCTTGTCGCCCTGTGACCTCACCGAGTCTGTGCAGGATGTGTGCTAGCTCAATGCTGTTGCCTGGCTGCGGGGTTCTCAGGTCAAGTAGCTGGTGCTCAAGCTTTTGCAGCTCCACCAAGTCAGCTCCACCAGGCATCGACTCCGGCAATGCCGAGTCTTCTGGCCACGCAGCCCCACTGTCCTCCGTGATGGTTCCGTGGAACTGCGGCGGCTGAGATGGACGAGTCCTACTCTGAGTTTGATCTGTCACAAAATCTGATGATTCTGATTCTTCGGGAGGATTCTGAGGATCCATGGGTGGATGCAGCCGGTGCAGCAACATGGACGAAGGACGTAGACCTGAAAAGTCAACGCTGACTGACTGACAACACGCCAAAGAACGAGCTTGAACAAGTATCTAAAGATGATGTTTCTATTCTATTCATTTGGTGATCTAGAATCTCTTAAGCATGCAACACACTGCAAAGCAAAAGGCGAATCCAGCTGCTCTCAAGTCAAGCCCAGCTGCCAGATCCAAGTCTCCTTGTCACGATGGGTTGCAGCAGCTCCTCCACTTGGCGGGTGGCATGAATGACGGTACAAGCAGCTTCCGCATGAAAGCTTCGATGGTTTGGGGTAGCCCTACAAGCTTCTAGCTGTGCTCTGGCAACGATCTCGGCCAAAATCTCAAAGACATCTCCATTCACAACTTCCGTGGCCAGGTACTTGTCTCGAGTCACTTCCAGGAGCTCCAAAACACCTTTGACCTTCTCTCGAACTTCCATCATGAAGTCCCACAATTCCTGTGCCTCATCCTCTTCCAGCTCTTCTGGCAGACGATCCAAGACCTTTTGAACTCCGTGGGCAATCTCCACAAAAGTCTCTTGGATGACTTGGTCCAGCAGCATGTCACAAGTCCGTTGGAGTGACCTGGCCAGCCATCTTGAAAAAAAAACAACTGAGGCTGGACGAAGGTGCAGGATGACATGAATATGTTTTTTTGCAGCAGCAATAGAAAACACATATGTTGGGTATACCATGGTATACCAGTATATATCGGTGTAACTTTAGCAGTGGATGACGGTAGGGCTAATTGTTTGCCGACTGTTACAGGCAGTAGCTCAACCCCCAAACATATGAATGTTGGTGAGTGATTCACTGTAATCATTGCTTCGTGATCACACCAGCCTGTTCACTGAGGCTGACGACAGTCCCACAGAAAAGGAAGAAGGAAGCGGACATGACACCTAGTAGATCCACAAAAAATCAAGGATAGATTCCCCTGGACAACAGGCTTCTGCAATGACATCGTGGGAAATATACTCCATGTGTTGCATTTCGATGCATTTTGATGAACCCCCCTTTGTGGCCTGCAAACCCTGCGAAGCTGACTCAGCTGCTGAAGGGGCAGCCTTTCAACCATGCGGGAAGGCCACATCACTTCGGTTGAGAGATCAGGAAGGGAACCAGCCATGGCGCCAAACAAAGGTTGTTGGTGTGTCAAGTCAAATCGGTAATACATCAAGAACTGTGAACTTTGATTTAGATGGACATGTGACCAAATATCTGGAGGCATTCTCATGCTTGCTGCGCCCTTGGGCGCCAGTATCCTTCAGTTTCTTTTGTAGAACTCCTCACATGAGACCATTTCAAGTGTTGGAGAGCCAAAAAAAACTAAGCGGGTGCCGACTCGCAAACGGGAATGTAGGAATGATCCATGTTTCTGCATGCTTCAAACGTCAATCATCACATCTCCCACTTTGGTGTTTGCAGCAGTTCAAGCACCACATCTTTCGGCAACACCCTCCGACTGAGAGTGGACAAACACACTTCATGTGAAACTGCGAGTAGTTGCAATTGGTTCACTTAGTTGCGTCTACCCCGACGCAAGGATGAAGAACTTTGTGAGCTTCCGTGAGCTTAATTCGAACAGCTTCTCAATCTTCGTCAATCTGGGCCCCAAGCCCATGGCAGGTAAGAGGAACAGCAACACGCTTCCCACTTCCTGCAAGAAGCATCAGCACGTGCTGCTGACCGAAGGGGGAAACGGTGGGTGTATACTGTACAGATAGAGCCAGCCATCTGGGTCTTGATTCGGTTTCAAGAGCCAGTCCTCTGGGTCCACGGGGAATGTTTCTTTACCAGGACACCCCGGACAGTGTCTATTGATAGCCCCGAAAAGAGGTGAGGAACGGGGTGTCCATGTCTAGCACCCCTTCTGGGTCCTAGTATATATCATATGATAGTGGTTTCAGAGTAGATGGCACAATCCCCAAGTTTGGTGGTTTATAAGGACCCCCATATATAACAGACATCTTTGGGTTTGTGTCATCTACTCTGAAACCACCATATCTCAGTATGGGGCTTGAAGAGGGCAAATTCCATAGGCTCTCCTAAAAACCCAACTGAACATAGCTGAACCCCTTTTACTATTGGGTCCTTCAGCCCATTCAACGCCTTTCCCATCCAACCCAACAGACTGCTCTACAGAGCTCTTCCGTTTGGCAGCTCAACCGGACGTTGGGCCACCGGGCTTGAAGACCTCGGTTGAGCTCTTCATGAAGCTGCATATATCCCGCCTATCTGCTCGGACGTGCATCGTCGGACGGTGCATTTGCGTATCCGGCGGTGGGGCAAACCAAGATCCACTGTCGATCCATCAAATAAGCTCCGCATTATATCCCTAGATATCCCTGGCATTGAGTATCAAACAGATTGCCGATGAGTAGCCCATAGCCATGTGGTAGGCCACTGGTGGGCCCAGGGGTCCACGATTTGCCACAAAATGCATCTTTTGAGCTCAAGGGGAGAGAGACGGATGAGAAAGAGATGAAATTGCATGATTTGAGCTTCACTGAGTGCTGATGAGGCGGTTGTTTTTGGAAGCCCCTCAAAAGCCCTGGAGTTGAACAGGAACTCAAGCCAGCATTGCAATATATATTATGTTGAACTACTATAGCACGTATATTGGCGATACAAAGGCTTGCGAGGTGAAAAAGGACCCTGGATACACATCCAGCTCCGAAGTTGCTCCCTGCTATCACAAGCAAGCTTGCAAAGACCTAACTTTCCGTGTGAATGCCAAACATATGAAGGCCTGATTGCTAAACTGAAAGCCTTACGGTTCATCCTTGACCTCCCAATGCCTCCCATCAACACGGGGGATAAACCTTGGACGCTGGCACCCGCCAAGCAAAAGCCGATGAGGATGGTCCTGATGGTTGATATGGGTCCGTACTGCGAGTACGAGTAGTAGAAACATGTTTTCTTTTCCGCTGCAAAGCATGTTTCCAAGCTACCATCCTACTTCACTTCAACGGCTTCAACAGGAACGTCCCACCCCAAATCCCAACAAAAACAACCTTAAGCATTCATCAGCTAAATCATGCCTTGTTGCTCTTCCAGTCAACCGTCCTGTTCTAGAAACCTCCTAGGTCGTATACTACCCGATACCCTACCCTCCTCAGGTCCTCTTTTTGGCGCGAAGTCCACCCTCGCTCCCTGCCGCTCCTGGTCCGCTCGGCTCGATCTTTCCCGGGCCTTGGAGTTGTTGGGATGATACCCCACGGCCAGGAAGGTCCACATCACTGAGGCCTCAACGAACGGCGGTCAAACGCGGGTCGCGGCGGCGGAGCCGAAGGCGCGTGGGTGGATCAGCACCGCGAGGGTCGACCAAGGTGACCAGGCCCGGTTTGGATGCCGCCGGGTTTAGGGTGTTCCATGTGGATCGCTAGAAGCAAAAGAAAAGGGTGTCAAAGATGAGTCTGCTGATTGGTGAATCATGTGGAATCATTTAGTGGGACCAGATTGAGTCTGTCATCAGTCATAGGATATATAGTATGATAGGATAGATGTCGTGGAGTCTGGAACAGTGTATTCTCCCCTTGCTTTTTGGATGAAATAGGTCTTCTCCTCTCACCACCAGGTCACCAGAAACACAATCTTAGTCTTCCCGCTTCACTTACCACCATCTCTTCATCTTACTCACCCTGCACCAAACACTACAAACTGGGTTCAAAATGAAAATCTTAAGACATCTTAAGAACAGATTGGTGTCGCATTTGACCACCGAAAATGCATGAAAATGAACCAAATACCAGTACATTGGAGATCATTGGAGGATGGGTCTGCAAGAGCAGTCTTCAATGTTTACCTTCCGGAATCTTGGCGTACCCACAAGGCCTTTTGCCAGAAAAGGTGAGCCACCGGGCACTGGACGTCCCGAATCCAAGTGGTCTTAGGCTGCCACAAGCACCATCATCATCGCTGACTTGTTGATGCCAACGATATCCTGAACCACCGAGTTTGGCTTTGGCTTTCCGTGCTTTCAGTGGACAGCCAATTGAAAGTCAGTAGTGGACAACAAGCTGAAAGTCCAGGGACAACAACATGCCAAAAGAAGTCAAGCTCCCAAGCAACTCTTGCTGAATGAGTTCTTAAACCAGCATGATTAGCCAGCTCATCCCCATTTCAATACCAATCCCATCCAGCCCAGCTGATCCAACCCAGTTTGATGCTCCACCCAATCCATTCCCCAGTTCCCTGCCAACAAACCAGTCTGAGCAAGGACCACATGCAGATCGGCCAGCGTTCCACCTGCCCTTTTCGGTCCTCGACGGCCACGATGAACAGGCCCGCTGCAAAGAGCACCGACATCACCTGCACCTGCGTGGGGAGCCTTCCGAGGGCTTGGGGCAGCCACCAAGACACCACTGCTGCTGTTGGCAGTGGATGGCAGTGGATGGCAATGGGCGGAGGTTAATTTAGCTGGTCGGCGCAAGGGGTACTTTTTGGAGACCTTTTCTGGTCATGATTCGTGGTATTCAAGTATTTTTTTGGCGTACGTCACTGCATGTCCTGTATCGGGATACTGTATGTAAGCGTGAGTCAACTTGGTGGGAAACCCGAAACGCAACAAGGGGCAAGAGAACCCCGAATTGATCACTTATCCTGTTGCACCCGGAGTTTCTGTGTGTTTCTGACATGTTCTGACATACTTCTGTCAAAAACAACACGAATGTCTGTGTTGCTATATGCCCACACTCGCTTTATTAGTGACACCGTGACACCTGCCTCTTTTGACATCACGGATCATATGCATGCTAACCCGCCCAGAGTGTCCACCTGTGGTTTGCCAGGAGAACACCCACCACTTTCAGAAACCGACTCCCCGCGGCGATCTTTTGGGGCCGTGACCGTGCGCGGAGGACTTCGAGGTGTTCGCCAGCTTGGCTGGGCAAAAAAAGCTCCACCGGCCGAGGGAAGATCCGATCAAGAACTGTGACAAGAGCTGTAGCAATCTGTGGTTTTTCCTTTCTGAGTGTGGTACTGATTGTCAGCCGGTCACCATCTTGAGAAACTCAAACCTACTCGAGATAACTAAAATGGTCCATTGGTGAAAGTCATTGGTGAAAGTTAGACTTCAAACATCAACTGCCAAAATAATCCATGAAACAAACAAATCAAAAACCGTCAATGACAAAAAATCAATACATTGCATTCCAAACAGGTTTCCTATCGGTGAACATGATGTCTTCTTCTTCTTCTTCTCGACAGGATGGCGGAGCAAACAACCTACTGTAATCTAATGGGCAAAAGATCAACTCTTTACGCGTGTTCGCAACGCCCATCTTTCGAGCCGGCGAAAGACGCCACGGCGTGTGCAAAACAGGACACCCAACGAATCCGATCCATGGAAGTCCAGGCTTCGGCATCCAATATTTCTTCTTCTTGATGTACTTCAAAAAACAATCAACAACACGTAGGGTCACCTCTCTCTCTACCATGATCTACAACTGTAATAAACAGATGTAAGTGACACATGTTGCTGGTGTCCAATGATTTTCCCCAAAGAGTCATGTGGATCCACTTGCGAATCCATCCGTTGGGCGGGAAACCCGGTCAGCGCTGACCGGTGAGTTGCGGCACCGCGAAGACGCTCCGGCACGCGCCGCAGATGATCCGATGCCGCTGCGAGGCGCGCGCGGCGTTCACCGCGTTGCCTGGGTCCGCGATCGGTTCAGTGGCGATCGGTCCGGGTGGTGGCACCAGGTGGCACCAGTGGGTGGGTGGGTGGGTGGGTGGGTGGGCTATCATAGTGGTAGCTGCATGGCGATTCAACAATTACAGATCTGGGTGTAATTAGTCAGGTGATTTGTGGTGTGGGAAGAGAACATATGGAGGGTGTACTATGGATGTGTGGGACCGATTTTTCATTTGGAGACCCAAGTTTCATAGTTGCCTGGTGACTCCCTTCTGATTGTGGATACGGCTTTGAAGGAAACGCCCAGGACCAAACCGGTGGCACTGGGCTTAGTGTTGGAGTTTTAGAAGGTGTATCTCAGTGCAGAGAGCTTTGCAGTGCCAGCGCTGCCTATAGCAGATAGCATCCCAGCTTGTCAAACTATATAAATTCTTTAATATCTGTGCATCTGTTGTATTTTCACAAGGCCCTAAATCCAGATATATCCATCTATAGATTAATGTATATATATATATATACCACTTCTTCCAGACTCCCATGAAATGAGGGTCCACCACTCCGGGAAGTGTGGAGTTGGTTTACAAAAAAGAACAAAACACAACCCTATGCCCCAACGAGCCGACCTCCACCCGAGCAGTGGGCCACATTGGTCTGTCGGTCTGGCAGCGACCCTGGGTGTTCAGGAAGGAACCTACCATCAACCTCCATAGCAAGGGATTATCAAAGTTGACCGACCATGGTTATGCAAGGAGGACAATTTTAGAGTAGTGTAAAAGTTTGGAACTCTGGGGTTCCGCGTTTGGTGAAGCCTTGCTGCTGTCCTGTCTTTACACACAAAGTTATAAAAATGGAACACCATGGGGCTTCAGGGGTGAAGCCCCGAATAGCACGTGTTCAAGAAACAAGAATTCCTTGAAATTCCCTGGTTGGACCTGTGGAAAGGATTATGACATATATAGTATATCTTGTACTATTGTGTCATCTATTGAAGCGTCAAACTCGATCAACCACTGGGAGAGGCTCACGAGCCAATGACCGCTGTTGCCAGTCGCTGGGAGATCTCGCTCCGCGATCGCTGGAGCACGCCGGGGGTGTAACGTCCAGCCAAGCGACAGAAGGGACATTGGATATGAATCTGCCTAAGCAAAAAGTGATGCGATGAAAAATGACAAAGTGATGGTGCTGTAGCAAGTTGGCAGAAGAAAACTGGACTTGGACATGGTGATATGAGCTTTTTCTGGGGTGTTTGGTCAAGTGTCTGGGATTTTATGGGGTCACTACCTGAAGAAAAAGCTCCAGAAAAGTTGCAGGCATATGCCTTCTATGCCTTCCTCAAGAAGTCTACCTCAAAGCCTGCCTCAGCCATGTTGAGTTTTTAGTCAGGAGCCAAGCCCGGGCCCAGGGCTACTGCTATCGTCTGCTATCTATGCAGCAGTGATGTTTTGATTATATGGAACGCACACCAGGCACAGCAGTATGATCGTCATCCTGAGGGTCCTGAGGAGAACTGTCAAGGAATCCTCACTACGACCAGGAGACCTCATGACAGGACGATGGACTCGTATGAATTCCCAATGTGAGTGGCTATCCGGGACCGGGACCTTTGGAAAGCAGGACGAGCGCCACTTCTCGGGGCATTGAAGAGTCTAGCGGTCATGTTCTGCAGCTTGAATTAGATGTACCTCACACCATTCTCTGCAAAGAGGGAGAGATAGAGAGAGAGAAAAACAAAAAAGCGTATTGGGTGGATGTTAGGCACTTGCATTATGAGATATAAGATGCTATGATTAGTGATTAGAGGGTATAAAGGCTGGTGTATGTATATATATACATGATACGATATGATATGATTAGAGGGTATATAGTATAGGCTGGTGTATGTATATCCCTAGGGATCCAAGTACCTTCTCAGGTACGGTGATGTGTTCGGCACTGTTCTGTAGGTGCCAGGAGGGTCCAGTCGTACCTTCTGAGAAGGTATGTCGTGGATCCCTAGGGTATGATATGATATGATTAGAACCAACAAGCCCAAGAACGTCAGTCTCCTGCCCCGCCCCCTCCGGTCCCTCCAGCCGTCCCCCTCCAAGTGGCTGTGTCGCGCCGACACGACTCTCTTCCTGCGCTGCTTCGAGCAGCGACGCCAAAAGCACTTGAGCTCCTGGGATCGGTGCGGAGCAGCAACGGACGGTCCCAAGGGATGAGACCAACCAGACCAAAGGACACCCAAGGTTAATTGGAATTCCTAAGGCCCTAAGGTTAATTGGATGGATGGTTATTGGGAAATATGGGGAACCATCAAACAACTGAACTAGAAAAGAAGCAAGCACTGCGGATTGGACATCAGTATATATAGTGCAAAAAAAACACGTCGACGCTATCATGCGTCATGAAACAAGGTGTGCAAATGTATACCACGTGAATTTGCTCAAACACCTCCCCACAGTTGTTCACTAACAGTTAACGTTCCTTCCATGACCAAAGGGTATGATGTGGACAACTTGGATCTGGGAGATGCTGCAGCAATATCTATAACTTCTGCAGACAAAGCCTCCATTCCTTTGCCGTGGAACCGGCATCTCAGGCGGTTGTGCTGGAGCCAGCTGTCTCTTCTGCTTCTCAGCACGTTCCTTCGCCTTAACACCAAAAAAGAGATTCGCTGGAATGGGTTGTCTAAATGCACCCCTTTTAAGGTAGATGACATTGAGCATTCTTATGAAGTTGTGTCAAAGGTGTTGATTGTTAACTCCAATTCGATATACAAGTGTCAGTCAGCTTAAAGCATGTTGAACTCTTAAGGACCTCTTTAATTTGCAAACGCACACAAGCTATGTGAGCGATCATTGGCGACGTCTGTAACTTCAGGCAGGACACGGGTATGACAGTTATATGTAAATAAGCATTACAGTAAACTTTATTCTAGTATACAGACCAACATATTATGGGGAGGCCAAGCGGCTAAACCTGGATCTGGGGATAACTACGCCACAGCCGACCAGCCAGGCCCAAAAGGCAGCGCTGCTGCCCGCCCCCCGCGTTGACGGGGACTTTCCGAAGGCGAGACACTCTGGCCTCGTCCTCTTCGATGGTTTGAAAATCACTGGCCCGCGCCTTTGCGAGGGCCTCTTCTACACCTCAGGGCATTGGTAGGATTGGCAGGTTACCCTCACACTCACTAGTTCACGCTATTTCCATAGTATTTCTAGAGTCTTCCCCAAGGGCCATGTTCCACAAACCGCGTGAATGTGGTGACCATCCACCAGTGTTCAGCTTTTCAAGCGCGATGGGTGTTCAGTTTAAACAAGAGAAACACTGGACTTGGACTTGAAAGGCACAGTGAGCCGGTGCGAAAAGTGGACACCCAAGTTGCCTCAAGGTTTGAAAGCAAACGAGGCGAGTCGAGGCTTCCAACTTTGACACAGTCAGCGTTGGAGTTGTAACTGATGGGTGTGCCTAGTGCACTGATCATCAGGAGGCAACCATCAAACAAATGAATGACAACCGCACTAAAGGATACTAAAGTTTAAAGGTACTTTAAGACTTTAGACTTTAGCCACCTGTACAGTTACTTCACCACCTAGATGGAAAACATCCTGGACCAGCCTCTTGCATGCTTAAGGCAGGCAATTCGCATGTCTGTTGGTGGTTTCCCAAGCTCAAGTGGTGAATCCAACTCCTGGTGCTA